CTGCAAGTGAAGAGATGCCCTTTGAAGGCTCCAGGCGCCCCCCCTGGCTGCCCCCTTGGCTTTTCCTGCAGAGGCCCTTGGCAGCCCCCCAACCGGGTGATTTTGCTGTTTAAGTATCTGTCTATCTTTCTTTCTTTCTTTCTTTCTTTCTTTCTTTCTTTCTTTTTTTCTTTCTTTCTTTCCTCCTTTCTCTTCCTTTCCCTTCCTTTCTTTTTCTTCTTTCTTTCATTCTTTCTTTCTTTCCTTTCGCTGTCCATCTCGGTATCCAAAGCCTCTCTGGTTCCCCTTCCATGCAACTTTCCTCATCTTTCCCATCTAGGAGATTTTTTTTGGGGGGGGGGTGTGTTTGGAGTCGCCCTTTTCTGCAGCTTCCCCAGTTCTGCATTTGCTCCCTTGCAGCCAATCCAGGCAGTTTGGGGGCCCATCTGGGCCGGGGGGGGGACGGGGCCTGTTGGCCGGGCGAGTGAGCCCAAGAAGGGAGGGGGGAGGACAACGGGACCCTGGGGACCCTTCGCTTCCTCCCGATCCAGGAGAGCCCAGCGCCCTCCTGCCTTCTTGGGGGGGGGGTGGTCTCCGCCTCCATTCCCCCCCACGCCTCTTCTCGGACCCAAAGGACCCTCCGAGGCTGCTGGGTGTGCCCCTCTGCTCCAATCCCCCCATGGAGGTTGGGAGGGATTGCCCCCCCCTCCAATCCCCCCAATAGCATAGCATCTCTCCCCCCCCCCGCAGGAAATGCTGCCGGGAGAGCCGCCCGATGCCCCCTCCGCCCCCCAGCCAAACTGCGGCATTCGGTCTCTCTCTTGGGGCGGCGCTTCTGCTTGGGAGACCCTGCCCCAGTCCGAGGCCCCCTTGGCTGGTCCTCCTCTGCAGGGCTGTCGCAGCACTTGGGAAGAGCCTCCCCCCCCCTCCCCCCAAGCCGGGCTCTGGTGGACAAAATGCACAGCCGGTTGGGGGCTTTTTTCCCTTCCTGGTATTGAAATGGATGCAATTGCCTTTTTTCCCCCCTCTCTTCTTTTTTCCATCCTTTTTCTTCTTTCATTCCTTCCCTTCCTTTTTCTGTACCATTTTTTTCCTCCATTTCCTTCCATCCTTTTCATTCCTTCCCTCCGTTTTTCCTTTCCTTTCTTTTTTTCCTTTTCTTTCTTCTTTCTTTCTTTCTTTCTTTCTTTCTTTCTTTCTTTCTTTCTTTCTTTCTTATTCCTTCCATTCTACCTTTCTTTTCCTCCTTCCTTCCTTCTTTTTTTTCTCCCCTTCCCTGGCATAATTTCTCTTTGCGTATTCGTATTTTCCCCTAGAATAAATTTAAATAAAAGCCCCCGCGTTTCCTTTCAGGGCCCCTCTGGTGCCATGGAGAGAGAAGCTTGGATGGGCCTCAGGGAGGGGGGGGACAAGCCCCTCCCCTCCCTCCCCCTTGGGCAAAAGGTTCGAATCCAGATGCCTCCAGCAAATGAGGAAAGCCCCAGCGTCCTTAGGATAAAAATTGCCTGATTGACATGCTGTCTGTCTTCATCAAAATATGACTGAGGTCTTTCGGTATTTCATCTTCCATCTACTTCCTGGGTGGAAAAAGGCAGGCAGTTAGTTGAATTTCAACCCCCCCCCCGGCCCCCCACCCCTATAAGCCTCCGGCTGCTTCTAGGAAATTTGCATGACTGATTCCTGACTTACTCTTGGAGTAGCTCCACAATACAGATACTCCTTGACTTACAACCACTTGTTCACTGTTGGGAAATTAGAAGGGCGCTGGAAAAGTGATTTATGACCACTTTTCCAGACTTATGACCAGTGTTTCTCAACCTTGGCCACTTGAAGATGTCCGGACTTCAACTCCCAGAATTCCCCAGCAGTGGTTAGGACAGTGTTTCTCAACCNGCACCCCAATTCCTGTGCTAAGGAAGCCAGTAAAAAGTCCTACATCTGCAGAAGAAAGACAATGCCATGAATAGTCCTCTACTTAGCAATCATTCATTTAACGACTGAAGAGTTGTAAGTGGGGGGGACTACCTTCAGCCATGCCTTTAAAGACCTCTGGGGATTTATAACCCTCTTGGTGGCTGGAACTGGGGAAAATCCTTTTGTTTTCTGGCGCTTAAGACTTCCTGCCTCTTTCCAGGCCTGACGGGGAGAAAAAAGCCTACGTCCGTCTCGCTCCAGATTACGACGCGCTTGATGTGGCCAACAAGGTAAGTTGTGCTTTATGGGACTTGTTTCTATAGGGGGTTGAGGATCTAGAAAGTTCAGTTGCCTCTCGAATAGGCACCTTTGGGAAAGGGGATGAGGGGGGCTCTCTTGGAGAGCACAGCACAGCTGGAAGGGACCGTGGAGATCTTCTAGTCCAAGCCCCTGCTCAAACAGGAGATCCTACACCATTTCAGACAAGTGGCTGTTCAGTCTCTTCTTGAAAGCCTCCAGTGATGAAGCAACCAAAGCTTCTGGTGGCAAGCAGTTCCCCTGGTTAATTGTCCTCACTGTCAGGAAGTTTCTCCTGAATTCAGATTGCTTCTCTCCTTGATTAGTTTCCAACTGTTGTTTCTTGTCCTGCTCCCTGGTGCTCTGGAGAATAACTTGACCCCCTCAAATATTGGAATTCTGCTCTCCTGCCACCTCTAGTCCTTCCTTTCTCTAGACTGGCCAAAAACCCAAATCCTGCAATTCTGTTCTTCCTATGTGTGAGTCTCCAGGCCTTTGGTCATCTTGGTGGCTCTTCTATGAACTTTTTCCCAAAGCCTCGGCATCTTTTTTGTAGTATGGTGACCAAAACTGGTTGCGGGATTCCAAATGTGGCTTTATAAATCGGTACAGATATCTCAGGTGACCTGAGATATACATCCTGGGATTGTGTTGGCTTCTTGGAAGGAAAGAGGGAAAGAAGAAGCTGTTTGAGTCTTCAAAGACCAGCAGGAACAAGATGGCTAACAGAGTTTCTGCTTCTTTTTCAGATTGGGATCATCTAAGCGAAGGCCGGCCAGCGGGGGCTCCAACGCAGCTTTTCTACAAGAGGTTTACAAACTGTTCTACAAAACTGTTCGAAGATTTACAATAAATTAACCCGAACACCAGTGCGGTTTCCCACCTTGCTTTCAGATCCTAAGAGAACGGTGGAGGAGGGAGAACGTGCAGTTCCCATCCAATGTAAAGGATTTTCCCGCTTACAGGAAGTCCTTGGCTTGTGACCACACTTGAGCCCAGATTTTCTGTTGTTAAGGAAAGCAGTTGTTGAATGAGTTTTGCCCCATTTTACAACCAATCTTGCCACGGTTGTTGTAAGTGAATCAGTGCAGCTAAATTAGTAGAATAGAATAGAGCAGAACCGAATATAGAATAAGGAATAGAATAGAGCAGCGCTGGTGGGGACCTTGGAGATCTTCTAGTCCAGCCCCCTGTTCAAGCAGGAGAACCTGCACTATTTCAAATAAGTGGCTATTGACTTTGCTGGTCAGAAAGTCTCAAAGGGGGGGGGGTCATGTGACCTCAACATTGCAACCTCACGAACCAGTTGCTAAGCATCCAAATGTTGATCACATGACCCTGGGGACGCTACAGTGGCCGTAAGTGTGAAAAGGGGTCATCGGTCACTTATTTCAGTGCTTGTAACTTTGAGCCATTAAATGAAGTGCTGTAACTCGAGGACTTACCTATATACACGACCTGGCCTGATTGTAGAAAATGAGGTCCCGATCGAGAAGGCCAGAGCCGAATTTGGGGTAGTCCTCTGGGATTGGGCGGCCTATAAATCTAATAAATTAAATTAATTAGTTGAGGGGGGGAAGCCTCTGACCCGCCAAGGGATCATTTGAGCCATAGTTGATTCCAGAAGGTTTCCCTGCAGTTTATATGGCGGCCTGTGGTCACACTGGCTTTTTAAAAAAGCCAGAGATTCAATTCCACCTTTGGAAATCCTTCAGCAACAAATCTTTTCCCAGCCCTGTTTTCTGGCGTTTGAGTCCCTCCGCATAGTTTAGATGAGGGATGTCCGATCTTGCTTGGCCGCTTTTAAGACCCATGGACTTCAATTCCCAGAATTCCCCACTCTTAGGGCCATACGGTGGGTGCTGTCTGTCTGCTGGGGTCCAGCTGTTCCCCAAAGCTCCCCTGAGCAAGAGGAGGAGAAGCAACGGATGGAAACTCATCAAGGAGAGAATCAACCTGGAAGTAAGGAGGACCATTAACCAGTGGAACTGCCTGCCTCCAGAAGTTGTGAATGCTCCGACACTGGGCATTTTAAAGAAGAGATTGGACAACCATTTGCCTGAAATTTTATAGCCTGAGCAGAGGAGGGTTGGACTAGAAGACCTCCAAGGTCCCTTCCAACCCTGTTATATCCTATTTCTCTTCCTCTCCCAAACCAGGCAGCTCCCTGCTGGCTTTGAGCCACTGCCACCACCAGCCTCCCCCAGGTGTCCTCACCTGTCCCTGCGCTGCCCTCTTCCTTACCCACCTCACCTGAATGGCTCTGGGGGATTGGCGGCATCCTAAGAGAACCAAATACCCTCATCCGATCCCACGGGGTAAGGAGAACGAGCAAGGGGTTCAAGCTCACAGGCAAAAAGGTTAAAAATCCCAAAGGCCAGATGGGGGGTGGTGTTTAACAAGGGGTGTCCTGGGGCCATCAGTCGCCCCCTGGGCAGCCTCATGCTTGGCCCCAGAGACCCTGCCCCCTACCCCCTATTGGAGAGGTCAGAAGATCACGGTTTCTCATCCCTCCTCCAACTTAGTAAACTCCACTCCAACCCCCCCAACCTTCCCCCACCCTGACTTCCTAGAACCAATACAAGGTATAAATCTTTAATAAAAACAGTTTAAGATATACTTAAGAGAAAGCGTAGAAAGTTAATAGCATCTTTGAATCGAGCTTANAGATAACAGAATACCAAACAAAAACTCTTACAAAGCAATGCACTTCTCCAAGTGCCTCCTTGAATCAGGGTTACAGAAAGCGAATCACTTATCCAAGTGTCTTTCAAATAAACCACGACCGATGATCAATGAACGTTGAACGAACGAAGGAACGTTGACTCCTGCAACCAGGACGTGGCACCATCCGTCCTTTTATCACCAGAAGACCCTCTAACGATCCCCAACTGCATTGTTAAATGCGAAAAGACTCACGTCTGCTGAGTCACAACACCCCACCATTGAAGGGAAGGGGGCAAGAATGATTGGGGGGTGAATGGGAGGGAGGATGAAAGATCTTTAAAACTGATAGGGGAGCCAGACACCCCCCCCCACACACAAAAAACCCTGCAACCTCATCACCAATGGAAAAGAACTCCAGAGACCATCTTCCACCTCCCCAGCTTGGAAATGCCCAGACCAGCCTAAAGCCCCAGGCACCCCACAAACATTTGGGCCTGCTGGCCGGGGATGATAGGAACTGAAGTTCTGAGCCGTGGGAGATCTTAACTATTTTTTGCACCCACCCTGCAGGAGGAACGGAGGTTGGCGGGGGGACAAGCAAGGTTGGATCTCAGACCCCATCATCCCCTGCCAAATGGTTTCTCTGTGTTACTTTTTGAGGGGAATGGGAGGTGCAACGCATCCCGATGTGGGGAAGGGTCGGACAGTGGAGTGTTGTTGTTATTGTAGTCCTCCCTTCAGGCAGGTTGTGGGTGCTCCCGACACTGTTGGGTAAGGGTCTCCAAGCTTGGGAATTTTAGCATTGGTGGACTTCAACTCCCAGAATTCCCCAGCCGGCACAGCCGGCTGGGGAATTCTGGGAGTTGAAGTCCACCAATGCTAAAATTCCTAAGTTGGATACTCCTGGCATAGGGCCGGCTGGGGAATTCTGGGAGTTGAAGTCCACCAGTCTTAAAAAGTTCCTAAGTTGGGCACTCCTGGCCTAGGGCCTCCTGCTTGAGCAGGGGGTTGGACTAGATGACCCCCCCGGAGGCCCCTCCCCGCTCTGTTCTTTTGCTCTTCCGCGTTCTCTGTCCTGGCCTTGCGGAGCGAGAACGGCGCGGCTTGACCCCCGGCGGCCCCCGTAGGCCTGCCGCGCCCGGCCGAGTCGCCATGGCAACGCGAGGCCCGCCGGCCGCGGCCTACTCCACCTCGGCGGGCCCCCGATGGAGAAATACGAGCGGATCCGGGTGGTCGGGCGGGGGGCGTTCGGGTGAGGACGGCTGGCGGCGGCCGCCGTGGGGAGGGGGCCTCCCCCCCCTCGAACCGGCCAATGGGAGCCACCCCGGTTCTTAATGATGATTTGGGGCTGGGGGTGGGGGGGCGTTGACGTCAAAGTGGATGTGTGGGACTACCACGCCCATCGTCCACAGCCGGCAAGCCAAAGGGCTTTAGTCCGCACCTTCTCCGCCCTCCTCCCCGCGCGCCCTTCCAAGGGGAGGGTCTTCTTCTCCCAAGATGGGCTTTGTAGTCCCCCCCCCTGCTCCCAAATGGCGACCCCAGCAGAAGCAACCCTCCCCCATTTGCACCCTCTGTACCCACGGGGAAGCTGAGGCACAGACAGGGCACCTTCCCCCCCCCCAAGGAGGGTCCCATTCCAAGCTGACCCCCCCCTCATGGGGAAGAAGCCCCCCCTTGACCCCCATCTCCCCCCTTGATGCTCCAGCTGCCCTGCCAAAGGGGGCTCAGAGAGAGGAAGGGGGGGGGCAGCTGGACTCCCTGCGAGGGGGAAGCCCCCCCCTCCATTGCCCCCTCCCCACCTCTTGACCTACGCAGCTGCCCTGCCAAGGGGGGGCTCAGAGGGTGGGAGAATCCCCTCATGCCCATGACCCCCTTGACACGCCCGGCTGCCCCACAAAAGGGGGCTCAGGGTGGGATGGGGCTTAGCCCCCCCCCCTGTAGCCCACCCTCTGTGCCCCCATCTCCCGCCCTTGACGCCCCCCCCCGGCTGCCCCGCAAAAGGGGGCTCAGGGTGGGATGGGGCTTNAAAAATGCCCTATTATGAACGGGGCTTCACTTAACAAGGGTGACGATGACCTGCTTAATGAACGTCGTGCCTTATGACCTGAATGATGGTCGTAAATCGAGGACTCCATGGCATGCAAGCTGGTCAGCCCCTCCTCCTGCCCCACAGGCCCCCCCCCCGCTCCCCACTTGCCACGGCGTGGTGGACCAGATACTCCCAGGAGGCCTTGGACTGGCGGCAGATGATGATGTCCAGAGAGTCATGGATGAAATAGCCTAGAAAGGAAGCATAGGAAGATATTTGAGTCGGGGGGGTGAGGGTGGGGGGGTGAAACACCCCCCCCTCTCTTGCTAGAACAGGACAGAGGCTGCTGGCACCCCCCCCACAAAAAAGCAGCAAAGTTGGGCTGGTAGATTGCTCCTGAACATGAAGTTTCCATCATCCATTCATTATTATTTTTTAAGTTATATCTACTTTTCCCAAGAATTCTTGGTCAGTTGGTTTTGGACTTCATCTAAGTGTGGCTTAAAGGAAGAATGGGCTACGGGTGGTCCTCGTCTTATGGCCACAGTAGTGCCTAAAGTTTTAATTTTGACGGGTGAGGCAGTGGTTTTAAGGGAGTTTTGCCCCGTTTCACGACTTTCCGTGCCCCAGTCGTTAAGTGAATCTGGCTTTACTTGTCAGAAGGTCACAGAAGCAGATCACACAACACTCCCCCCCCTGGGACTGTCATAAATGTGAGTCAGTTGCCAAACGTCCAGATTTGGAGCACTTAAACACAAGGATGGAGCAACGGCCGTTAAGGGTGAGAAAAAAAACCACTTTTTTTTTAGTGCCGCTGTAAGTTTGAACCACGATTAAACGGTTGTAGGTTGAGGACTCAACAACTGCAGAGATTCACTTAACGTCTGTGGCAAGAAAGGTCGTAAAAATGCTTGGAATGGAAATTCCAGGCTCAACTGCAGTCGTAAATTGAGGACTACCTGTATGTAAATTGGTTTAATGAATCCTCAGGGCTGCTCCCTGTACAGAAGCAGTAGAACCAGCTGCTGCCCACCCACCCCACCCACTCCCAAACCTCCTGCCATTCAAGAGAAGTGCCCTTCAACCAGGAACCTGTTTCCTCGCCTTCCCCTTCGGGCATCCTGCCTGTGTCGCAATCCGAACTCAGCGCCTGGATTATAAATCCATGAAGTTTTCCTGACTCTGTTTTTCGGAAATTATTTACTCTTCCCTTCTTCCCGGGGTTGCGCGAGAGGCAGGGGCCCTAAATCACTACTTGGTTTGGTGTCCCCCCCCCCCCAGGCAGGACCCGAACTCAGGTCTCCTATTTCAGAGGTCTCCCAACCTTGGCAACTTTCCGACTTGTGGGCTTTTAATTCCCAGAATTCTCCAGTCGCTTTAAAACTTGTGAACTTTTTAATTTCCAGCATTCTCCAGCCTAACTTTCAACTTTCTGGACTTCAACTCCCAGAAACCACCAGCCAACTTTTAAGACTTCTGGACTTCCACTTCCACAATTGTTCAAGTCCGGAAGTCTTAAAAGTTGCCAAGCTGGGGATTCAGCCAAGGGTCTCCAGCCATTCCCCCAAGCCTGATACCTTTGTGTCCCACCCACCCTTTTCACTCAGCTGCACCTGGGGAAGGACCAGAAAGTTAACTTTGCCCCACGCACAGAATTCGGTCCAGCCTGAACTCCCAGCTGTGCTAAAACGCCCACAGCAGCCCAACCCCCAAATGGGGGGGGGGGAATACCCAGGAATTCGCATGGCCAAGCTCAAGGGGTGGGGTGGGGTGGAGGAACAGCGAGCGGACCTCTCTGGAGGGGAGTGGGATGAACAAGGCAACTGGAACAAAAGCTTCTAACGCCCCCATTGTGCTCTCCTGCACAACAACACTGTGAAGCTAAAACAACATTTTGTGCCCGGAGCAGAAGATGCTATATGGGGCCTTTTGCAGGAAACCCACCAAGACCCCTCCCACCGCTGCCCTTTCAAGGCCACGCTAGAGGGGTGTGTGCAGGGTGGGTGACCATTGTGGCCCCCAGCCCCTCTCTTCTGATGCCCCACTGACAACTCCAGCACGAGACTTTGGGTCCTCCCAAAGACCCCCTTGGGGAGTGTTGCCAAGGGGGCAGGTTTGATGAGTTGGTGGGCTTCAGTGGGTTGTTGGGGGGGGGCTTAAGTACTAAAAGTTGCGAAAGGCAACTTTGTGTTAAGATGGGAGGCCAATTCATCATGTAAACAAACAAACCGTTTCCAGGCAACCCCAGCCCCCTGGGAGAGAGATCCCGCCCCCCCCTGCCCCCAAATGCTTCTTACCTGTGGAAAAGCAGAGCAACAGGTGGGCGGAAGGGGAGGTGGTCTGCACCAGGTCATCGAGGGCCCCTGGCAGCTGCCACATCCTGGGAGGGGGAGAATCATCAGTGTCAGCAACAAGGAAGGGAAGACCCCCAACGCACCAGGAAGAAATTTTACAGAGGGGGGGGGGGACGAAGAAGTGCCACCCTCTTAGCCTCTTTTCCCAGCACCCCTCAAGGCTGGCAACACGTTGGTAGAGTTTCCCATCCCGCCCCTTCCAGCAAAGAGCGCCCAAAAGTGAGCCCAGGACCCTCCCCCTTTGAAGCTCGTTTGGGGGTCCTGGCCAGCCGTCCAAAGAGCCGATCCCAGCCCTCCCCCCCCCCCATGAAGGGGCGACGGGGGTCCCGCTTCGAAGCCCCGGCGATCGTTGCTCCGCCGCGTTCCTAGCCGGGTGGAGGGGAGGGGGGGGCGTCGTCCCGCGGGCCTGGCGGGTGGGCGAGGTGGGCAGTCCTCGGCCCCGGCGCTCTGTGCACGCTCAGAGGGCCCTGCTCACCCGACGACAGCCCAGAGGCCGGCCACCACGGAGTGCGCGAAGGAGACCAGCAGGTTCTTCCAGCGCCAGGTGCGCGTGGCGTCGCGGCGGACGTGGGCGGGCAGCGGGCATCGGCTCAGTGCCCACCGGAGGGCCGCGAAGGCCAGCGACGAGCCGGCCACCAGCCCGGCCGAGCGCAGCCACGGGGCCATCCCTGCCCGCTCGCCCTCCGCTCCGGCCCACGTGCGCTCCCGCGGGGGAGGACCCGACGCCCCGCCCCGACCACGCCCCCCGGGGGGGGTTCCCCAGCGGGGTGGGCGGGGCTCGTGCCGGCTGGCACGTGCCCGCGGGCAGCGCAGGTGCCCGGTTGCCGTTGCAAACCCTCGGGCCAAGCGCAGCGCAGGGCTTTTTCCAGGGATCCTGGACGGCCGGATCCAGCCAGGGATGGTCGGAACTAAGGGGGGGGGGGGAATCCGCCTCGCTTTTACGACCACAATTGAGCCGAGGAACTGCGGGCTGTCATTTAAAACCCAACTTCCCTAAAATCCCAAGTTTGTGCGAAGCGAGGAAATTGTTCATTGAGTTTGCCAAGTGAGACAGGAGTTGAGTTTTGCCTCGTTTCTTGCCAGGGTTGTTAAGGGAATCCCTGCAGTTGTTAAGTGAGTCGCACGGTTGTTAAGTGAATCCGGCTCCCCTCATTGACTTTGGTCGCAAAAGGGGATCACACCACCACATTCAACATTCATTCAACAGTCAACATTCACCACCGTCATAAATACGAGTCAATTGCCAAGCCGGGCGAATTTTGATCACGTGACCATCAGGAAGCTGCAATAAGTGTGAAAAAAAGGTCATCAGTCACTTTTGTTTTGCTCCATTTTACAATTTTTCCCGCTGCAGTTGTTAAGTGAATCGCTGCATCGTTGAGTTAGTCACACAGTTGTTAAGTGAAAAAGTTTTGGCCTCAACTGTACTCGTAAGTCAACCTGTGTTTCCCACGGAGAATTCGGAGGTTTTGACCAAAATAAACTTAATAAATGCTTCTGTCTGTGCACCAAAGAAAGAAGATTCTTTCTTTATTTGTTAAATGTGTTTGAGGCCTAACACATGGGGGGGGGGGGGGGGGCGCTACTGGAAGTTGAAGTCCACAGGACTTAAAGTCGCCAAGGTTGAGAAACACTGATTTAAATTGTTTAATTAGTATCCCAGTTTGATTTATGTTGATTGCTTATGTAGAATATCCATGGCTCTATCACTCAGGGTTGTATCTAATTTTTATGATGACTAAGACATCTGTCACTATTGGTTGTTTTTTTCTGGAAAAGTTCTTTATTTTTTGTTCTCTCTATACAATTATAGGCCTGCATTCACAGAGTTATTCTTCTTTTTCACATTCTCCATTCTTATGTATTTCTCATTCCATTTACAGGGTTATAATCTGCCATTTGGGTTGCTTTGTTTACCATCCCTTCCACCTGTTTTGACACCCCCTTCTTCTCCCTTCCTCTTCTCCCTCCCTCCCTTCTCTGCTTCCTTCCTTCCTCCTCTCCTCCTTCCCTTTCCTCTCCCCCACTCCTTTCTTCCTCTTCCCCCTTCCACCTGTTTTGACACCATCTTCTTTTTCCTTTCTTTTCTTCCTCCCTCCCTTCTCTGCTTCCTTCCTTCCTCCTCTCCTCCTTCCCTTTCCTCTCCCCCACTCCTTTCTTCCTCTTCCCCCTTCCACCTGTTTTGACACCATCTTCTTTTTCCTTTCTTTTCTTCCTCCCTCCCTTCTCTG